AGAATTTACCAACTGAAGTTGTAGTTATGTTCGGTTATTACAGGAACAACAACTTTTCAATAAACAGTTTTAAAAAGGTGCTGAAATTTCAAGACCTACCTAATTTTCATAGTAGATTTATCTTCCGCCAAGAGATTCATGCTTTTGAAGTTACACTGACTCCTCATAGTATAGATCTACCAAGATTAGTTAAGTTGTGTTGTTGTTGTTTATTAAATTTCATAAATCAATAGATCTAAATGACTAACCTGAACAACTAATAGTTTTTTGAAGGTGGATTTTGCCGAAGTTTTGAGAGACCATGACTACGAAGATCTTGTACTGTGTGGTGATAATGGGAAGACAAAAATGATGCAATTGTTTTGTGTTGGAGATACTCATAACACCAAATTAGGATAGGACTGGGATTCCTTTTGCAAAGAAAATAATTTCAAGGCTGGAGATAGAATTTAATTTATATTTGATACAACTTTGTTCAACAAGTTATGTCATGTTTATATATTTCCCTATGGGCAAACCTAATTTCCGGTTGTATTATAGACATATTAATGAAAGTGTGTAATATAAGTCCTATCTTTAATATTTGATACATCTGCAGTTTCCCTGCATGTCTGACTTAATTTAATGTTTTATTTCATTATTTTTTGTTGAAGATGAAGTTTGACCTTTTGAGGTTTGTGCATGTCTAACTAAATTTTATGGATATTGTGCATTATTGTGTTTGAGAGTATTCTTATATTGCTTTTAAACAATTTTATCTGCAAGCTTTTAAAATGTTTTATACTTCTTCATATTTGGATTCTATTTCAAAAATTTCTGTTTTTTTGTTATGTTTCACTATGTTATGCGTTTTCTTTTCTTTTAACGTATTCTCATATCAATCTTGTTTTCTTAATTTCATTTCAGTCACAACACCTTTGCCATGCACTGAACTCAATACCTAATTGTGTATTACACACACAACATGAATAATAATTATAATTTTACAATTGAAATGCAACAGAAGAAAACCAAACATGGCAAACAAAAAAACGGATGATATTAAATTTAGCAAATTAAATACCACCATCCAGAAAGATCAAAAACTGGCATGCCCAAATCAGGAGTTGGAAATGCACCAAAACATGTAGCACTACAACAAAAATGACTTTAGGAATAGACAACGACGGTAAAACCGTAGTATAACCGTAGGGTATTCACTTATATCCAGTTTTTTTTTTAAATAGAAATAACTTCAAAAGCCTTAGTTCTGCATTTGACTTTCAGTCTCAAACCCAACCTTTCAATTTCAGATTTCAGTATTGTTCTCACTTTTAGGTATTTTACTTCTTATATATAATAGAATAGTAGACATGATTCTGCCATGGTAATGAGGAAATAGCAGAACTTTGTTTTTTAATCTCAGTTTGTGTTTGTGGTTGTGGTTATGGTGATATATATTTATATATATATATAGAGAGAGAGAATGAGAGTCTTGTTTACTCTTTGTCTCTCAATATAGCAAGTATGGATACAACTTTGGTTAGGATGAATTTAAAGTTGTTGCCACAACTCTCTATAGTGTCCACCAAGAATGAGGCCCAAGTCTTTGATATCAACATCATATATTTTCACTTAAATTTTGTAGCTAAGTTTTCTGCTATGTGTTAGTACTAAATGTTGCCAAATAGCAGATATAGAGACATTTGAACAAACTACAGAGTTTTTGAACTGTGAGGTGATACAACTACTGAGTTTTTGAAGGAAGGTTTTATTGATACAACTATTGAGTTTTTGAACTGTGAGGTGATTTCCCTCCCTTTTAAATTCCTTGGTATTCGTGTTGGTGATAATTCTGATAAGATTCGGTTGTGGAATCATGTGGTCGAGTTATTCAGGAATAAACTAGCAGTGTGGAAGAATAAAAACTTGAGTATTGGCGGTAGTTTAACTATTTCCCACAGTTTATTGACAGGAGAAATAAACTCATCCATATGCAATCTCAAATCACTTGTGCGTCTTGATTTATAATTCAACAGCTTAAGTGGCAATGTTTCGTCGTGTATAGGGAATTTTAGCCGATATCTAAAAGTTATTTTGCTAAAGGGAAATAAATTGTCCGGTCTCATTCCTCAAACATACCAGATGGAAAATACCCTTCAGATGATTGATTTCAGCAACAACAATCTTCAAGGTCAGTTGCCAAGAGCATTGGTCAATTGTGGATTGCTAGAGTACTTTGATATTAGCCATAACAATATCAACGATTCGTTTCCATTCTGGCTAGGAGATCTACCCGAGTTAAAAGTATTGGCTTTAAGTAACAATAAATTTCATGGAGAAATCACTTGCTCTAGCAACATGACATGCACATTTCCCAAACTTCATATCATTGATCTATCTCACAATGAATTCTCTGGCAGATTTCCGTCAGAAATGATCCAGAGATGGAAAGCAATGAAGGTGTCCAATACCAGTGAATTACAGTACGAGCAAGGATTTGTTTACTTGAGGTTCAACAAGTCAGGAGAATATTTGAAAGCATATAATTCCTATCTTCAATCTCTCGTTTTATAAGGCTCCGGCGCAGATTGTGAAAACTATCACTAAAATTCAAGCTAACTTCCTATGGGGTGGTCTGACGAAGAAAAGGAATATCCATTGGATAAGTTGGAAGCCGGTTTGTTTACCGAAAGAGCTAGGCGGTCTGGGTATCAAGAACATTATGTGTTTCAATAAAGCTCTTTTGTTGAAGTGGAAATGGAGGTTGATCAAGGAAGAAGAAGCATTATGGAAAAGTATTTTGAAGTTCAGGTATGTGCAGAAATACAATAACATTGGTTTGGCTATTTTGTGTAAGGAAGGTAAAGGTGGAAGTAACTCGGATTCGATATGGTGGCGTGACTTAATGGTGATCGGTTATGACAAGCTGTTATCTATGGATCTATTTTCAGATTCGATCAGAGGAGTGTTGGGTGACGGAAGATCATTATCCTTCAGGAATTCTCGTTGTTTTGGCAGCAGTTCTTTGAAGGACGTCTATCCGTCGTCTTTCTTAGCTAGCATTTCTCAGCATGCTACTGTGGCTGAGATGCGGAAGTTGTTTGAAGAACAAGGTTGCACTAATATTTTTTCTTCTTCTTGCGTAAAGTTGAGAAATTCATCTCATTGATTGAGCAACTGCACTTAGATGATAATAAGAGTGATTCCTATGTGTGGACTCATGGAGATGAGAATTTTTATTTTGTCTGTTCTGGGTATATGCTAATTTTGCAGGTAAATAATATCATTGAATTGGATGATAGGTCTGAGATTGTTATGAAGATAACGTGGGCTTCGTCCTTTCCTTATAAAATTCATGTTCTATTATGGAGATTGTTTTGGGACAAGTTAGCCACTAAGGACCAATTGCATAAGAGAGGTATAAACCTTGGCAGTGTGGATTTACAGTGTTCTTGTTGCAGTGTTGTAGGCAAATCGTCTCGCCATATCTTCTTGGACTGTCAATCTGTATGTTTAGTAATCTCAACAACAATGCTGAAACAAGTATTGAAATGCGTGTTAAAGAAATATAACAGCTTGTGAGTCTTTCTCAAAAAAGAAAAGAAAACTTACTAGGACAATCAGAGATATTGACTTTAACATCACAAACAGTCGGAAGTTGAAGAAGCTTGTCCTCTTGAATCCCCATGCTCTTACTTTTAGGACTCCCCTTATGAGTTTGTTGAATGATGTAACACAGACACTCTGGATTCGTATCCTTAATACTCTTGGCCGCATCACAACACTCTTTCTTCGGCTTCGGTGCTTTCCCCGTCGCAAAATCCAAACAAGGAATCACCTTTGAAACCACCTGACTACATGTCTTGGATAAGTCTTCTGCTCTGTTTGCTGCGTTGGAACAAACTATGATGGTTAGAGCCAGAACACAGAGGCATGTGAATGTTTGATGTTTCATCTTTGATGTTTGTGTGTGAGGTTTGAGTTGTGAGAAGAGAAGACATGTTTTAAATTGGTGTGGAGAGGTGAAGAGTAAATGAGGAGTAGTGTGGTCTTGTTCTATTTATTGAGGAGATTAAGGAAAGAGATAATAACGTTGTACTCTATGGTAGATAAATGTCCTTATTTTATTTGACAACTCAACTGGTGTAATGAATTCACTTCAACCAAATGCTAATTAACTATGTAGTCAAATAAATCTACTCCATTCATGAAGATTGTTTTTATCATTTCTTATTCATTAAGAAAAATGTACAAATAAAACAAAAAATAATATTGTTTTTTTTAAACTACTTTTATCAGATGTGTAGTTATACCATATATGTATATGTGTAAAGATTAAAACTACTTTGAATTGGTTAATTGTGTTAGTTAATTTTATGGAATTTGGTTAATTGTTTAATTGGAGTTAGTTATACCATATATGTATATGTGTAAAGATTAAGCATTTCATATCTATTAGATGAACTAGAATGATTATTTATCTCAGGATTCTATCAGTCATACCATACATGTATACATGTGAAGATTAAGCGTTACATATCTTTTTGAAGTGGAATGATTACATTTGAAAAGATTTTTTCATATGGACATTAAAATTGGTCAAATGTTTAATGTTAATTTATTAAGAACTAGATATACAATTCCATAAAGTTGTCAAAATTGGCCCTGAAAAATGCATCCATAGTTTCAACAGTTTGTCATATTGGATATGAGTTCAACCCAAACCAACTGCTATCAAGCCTTATATAATCTTTTACTTGTTCTTTAAGTTTAGAAGGCATTTATTTACTAAATCCAACAAATAATAAATAATAAAAATAATAAAATAGCTAGTTCTAACAGTTAGAGGGTTATTTGTTATGTTAGTTAAAATGTTAGAATTAGAGATGTTATTGATGGATGTTTGAAATACTGTAATTAAATTTATTGTTAGTGATCCTTATGTGTTTATACATTTTATTTGTTTATAAATTTATTGATAGATGTTTAAAATATTGTAATTAAATTAGACTAAAGGTATGGATAAAGCATGGACTAAACTCCCAAGACACTGGAAGAAGTATAGAAAAGGTGTTAAGTCTTTTTTAGATTTTGCCTATACCACAGGAAGACCTCAAGGACGTGAAATTTCTTGTCCTTGTGCTCATTGTGTAAATTGTAAATGGGAAAGAAGACATGTGGTCCGCGATCATTTAATAGCTGTAGGTTTTGTGAAAGGATATGATGTTTGGGTAAACCATGGAGAGGATATACCATCGCCTATGAAAATTAAGGAGGGCACAAAAGAGCAAGAGAACTCACTTGATAACATTGGTGGTTTATTGTATGACACATTTAGAAATGTGGTTGAAGCAGAGGAAAGTAGTGAAGCTCACAATGAGGATTCGAGAAAGTTCTACAAGTTTATTAATGAGGCAAAACAAGAGTTATACCCCGGATGTGAAAGCTTCTCTACTCTATCGTTCATAATTCGACTTTACTTGTTGAAGTGTCTGCATGGATGGAGCAATGCATCTTTCACTTCCCTTTTAGAATTATTGAAAGAAGCGATTCCAGAATTAAACATTCCTGAATCTTTTAACAAAACAAAGGAGATGATTAGTGATTTGGATCTCGATTACAAAAAAAATTCATGCATGTCCGAATGATTGCATGTTATATTGGAAAGAACACGAGAATGATAAATCTTGCAATACTTGTAAGGCTTCACGGTGGAAGGAGTTTCCTCAAGTAGAGAGCGAGTCTTCTGAGCATGCGAAATATGATCATAAAGTCCCTGCTAAGGTTTTGAGACATTTTCCATTGATTCCACGATTTCAAAGGTTATTTATGTGTTCAAAGACAGCAAAGGAAATGAGGTGGCATGAAGAAGAACGCTCAAAAGATGGAAAATTAAGGCATCCTGCGGATGGACAAGCATGGAGGGATTTTGATAGACTTCATCATGACTTTGCTTCTGAGCCTCGTAACATAAGACTTGGCTTATCAAGTGACGGCTTCAATCCATTCCGGACCATGAGCTTATCACACAGTACATGGCCTGTCATGATGGTAGTATACAACTACCCTCCTTGGTTGTCCATGAAATCTGAATATACAATGTTGTCATTGTTGATTCCTGGGCCACAATCACCGGGGAATGACAGTGATGTCTACTTTCAGCCATTAATTGAGGAGTTAAAGGAGTTATGGGAATTAGGAGTAGACACATATGATGCCTCAAAAAATCAAACATTTAAACTTCGTGCAGCACTCCTATGGACAATTAGTGATTATCCTGGGTATGCTATATTATCAGGTTGGAGCACCAAAGGAAGGTTTGCATGTGCGTGTTGCAATCATAACACTGAATCATCATATTTAAAAAATAGCCACAAGATGTGCTACATGGGTCATCGTGTCTTTTTACCAATGAGCCATGCTTGGAGGTTAAATAAAAGGTCCTTTAATGGAAAGAAAGAACTTAGGTCTGCCCCTTCTTTGTTAAAAGGGACAGATATTTTGGAAACCCTGAAAGATTTTCATAATGAGTTTGGTAAAACAAAAAAGAAGAAAAAAGATGGTCCATGGAAGAAAAAATCAATATTTTTTGAGTTACCTTATTGGGCTGAAAATACATTACGTCGTAATCTTGATGTGATGCACATTGAAAAAAATATATTTGATAATATTATTGGAACTCTTTTAGACATACCAGGGAAGACAAAAGATCATGTTAATGCTCGTTATGATTTGAAAGACATGGGAATAAGAAAGAAGCTTCATCCAAAAGAGATTGGTGGGGGTCGTGCAGAGATTGCAAAATCTTGTTTTTCAATGAGTGCACGTGAGAAGACTATTTTTTGTGGTGTTTTAAAGGGTGCCAAATTACCAGATGGGACTGCATCAAACATTTCAAAGTGTGTGCAAGTTAGTAACAAGAAAGTGTTTGGCTATAAGAGTCATGACGCACATTTCATGTTACATTACTTATTTTATATATATATATATATATATATATATATATATATATATATATATATATATATATATATATATATATATATATATATATATATATATATATATATATATATATATATATATATATATATATATATATATATATATATATATATATATATATATATATATATACACTTACACTCAGTTTCATGCTTATTCTTCCTACTACTATCTCTAATTCCTCTTCATCTTTTTTCTCATAAGTTCTATCATTTTTTCTTCTCTATTATCCATCATCAAAACCATGAACAAAGTTGATAAATCTCAAGTTATTTTTAATTATATTAATTTATAAAAAATTTCTTCATATTTACAGGTTAGAAATGAAGATGATTCTCAAGATGAACAAGATGACGTTCTCCAAGAGGACGATGATCTTCAAGATGATGACGATCTTCATTTTGATATTGATGATGATCTCCAATATGATCAAGATGACGATCTTCAATATGATCAAGTTGACGATTCTCATGATCCTCAGTACAATGAATATGATGAAGACCTTCACTGATTCAAATATAGACAATTATGTTTTGTTTTATGGAGTTACATAAACCACCTAATTAGTTTATTATATTTTAAAGAGTTTGGATTTATGGAGTTTCACAAACCGCTTAATTAGTTTATTATATTTCAAAGAGTTTGGATTTATTTTGAAAATATTTGTTCTTACATTTCAAAGTGTTTATTACACTTCATCTTATTAATACTTCATATTTATATGTTTTGATTAATTTATACATGTGTTTCTTCTCATTTAATTAATAATATTGACTTATACTATATTAGAATAAAATAAAGGTTTATGGCTGAAATGTATGACCATATAAATGAATAGGAAATTTTTTAATAATTATATCTTTAAGTTTAAAGTTAATATTTACCAAATATTTTTCAATTTATAGGCAACGCTTTTTAAGGGTTGCTTATTAAAAACCGTGGACTTTTCCTAAGTTTTAGGCGCGGTTCTTTAAATGAAATTATAAATTAGCTACAGTTTTCATTTGTTGTTTTTTTATAACCGTTGTGTATTCATGTTTTGGGGACAGTTATTTTGTGTTGTTACTAGAAAACCGCGGCCTAAAACTACAACTAAAACCGTGGAATTTGACGATTTACACGACGGTGTTTTGAATCCGTGGTTAAAAATAAAAAAAACTGCGCTCTAAAGGAATAGGCAACAACCGTTTATTCCACGTCTGATAAACCGCCCCCTAAAGGTTTAGGCTACGGTTATTGCACTTTAGGTTGCGGTTTTGAGTTGTTGCCAAAAGTCATTTTTGTTGTTAGCATTCTACATGACCACCAAAATTAAAAGATAAACCCATAATACAACATGCCAATGGGATAAATGAAAGCAAGATCTACTCCAGCTTCTCTAACTTAATAATCTTCTTAACCTTAGTTGAAGAGAGTTCTCCATCACCGACATTCTGCCTCTTCAATGTCGGTATGACAGGTTCAGGGCCACACGTGGATATAATCTCCATCTCCTGGAAGCATAGAAAAAGCAAAAACACATCAAGATATAGAAAAAGCAAAAACATATCAAGATATCAATTCGCAATAAGCTTGTAATAAATTTGTATAGCCTAGTTGATATGCACACCACAACCACCCCTGAGTCTTTCATCGAACCAGACCTAATCTCATCAACACAATCTGTATTTTACCTCTTCAAAGTCGGTGCAACGGATTGAGGGTCACAAATGGATGTAATCTCGATGTCCTAGCACCATAGAAACAATGTAAACACCAAAAAAATACAGTGGCAATAAGTTTGTAATAAATTGGGGTAGCCTAGTTCATATGCATACCACAACTATCCCTGAGGCCTCCATGGAGCCAGATTCGACCTCATCAACAAAATCTGCATTGTGCCTCTTCAGAGTCGGTGTGACGGGTTCAGGGTCAGAATGAATGTAATCTCCACATCCTGGCACCAAAAAAAAAGTGAAAAGCAATTAAGATTTGAGTAACACAGATTTTCTAAAAATTTGTGTAGCTTAGTTGATATGTACATCGCAGCCACCCCTGAGTCCTCTACCAAACCAGACTTGACCTCATCAACAGAATCTACATTCTGCCTCTTTGAAGTCGGTGTGACAGGTTCAGAGTCACACCTAGATGTAATCTCCACGTCCTGGAACCATTAAAATAGCGAAAACATATAGAAAATGCAGTGGCAATAATTATTTGATAAATTTGTGTATTTTTGTTGATATGCATACTGCAACAACCCTTGAGTCTTCAACCGTACCATATTTGACCTCACTAACACTCTCTTTGATCTAAACAGGAAAACCGACATTAGTGTAACAAAGGAAGAAATTCTAAAGGCCATAATAATGAGGTATAATTGCATAGATAACCGGAAACAACTCTTGTGACAACTGTGACGCAGCTGTTGGCTGAGAAGCTATAGCCTTCGCGTGGAAAGAACAGAAGCATCACATTCTATTTGATGAAAGTAAACATTGGCATTCATAGTAAAATAAGATACATGATACCTGACTTGCTTCCCAAGGGGACTTGAGTTGTTTGATATAAGCATCATCCTGAAGAAGCATCATAACAGAACAACTTTCCCACCGCGGCTGCCACTTAACCTTAAATGCAATTTCCAAATCCATCATTGCATCAAGTGCCAACGGGAATTCTAGCGGATCAGTAATTCCTTTCCACAACATGAAATTTTATAATCTGCAACGAGGGAAGCACCCAAAACCATTCATTAAGAATGCAAGTTTAAATAGAGGATCAAACCATCACAAGTATATCACGCATCATGAGTCGCTGATACTTCCATCAACTGAAGGCATTCCCTATCCCAGAAAATGAATTTACAACACTTCCCATCATAAGTAACCTCTATCTCAATCTTGTACCTGACATAACACCATAAAAAGGGTTAAAATTGAATAATAAAATAAAGAATTCAGCCAAAGTTTAATTTAGCAGACTTTAAATGAATGAGACCTATAAATATCAGCCTCTGTGGAATGTCCGTTGTCACACATAAAAGGTGGCTTATCCCCATGAGAAACCCTTGGGCATTCATGGCATGCCTGATAATACTAGCCATGTTGTGACACAATGATTTTTTCGTAGTTGCAACAGTCGCACAAAAAGTAATCTACGTTAATTTAAAAACAACAACACCAGTGAACATTAAGAAACCATACAAGCATGAGAAAATTGTCAATGTCATTTAGATAATAGAAAAAAAGACATTTTATACCTCAGGAAGTTTACATATTTCATTTAGAGGCATGACAATTGCTTTGGAAAGCAGTTTTTGAAAGGGAGATTGTTAGGGATTGTATGCGTTATGGGAATAATGCGCAGATGTTTGTCCAGACAGTGTGACGACAGAATCATCATGGACGCTGCATTAAAACACATGAATAAAGGCGAAAATGAGTAAATATAAATAGAAGATTGTGGAACCTAAAGATGCGACATAAATACAACCTCTTAATAAAGTTGTTGATTGAAGAAACATCACCATTGATCGACAATTTAGTCACATTATATGTATTGGTAATTAAGAGTGGGTACCTGCCTGCATCACATTCAATAAAGCAAAACATGAGAATCCAAGTTAACAGAAAAAATTTAAACCAACATAATAACACAATAG